TGATCGATGCGCAATCATTGTATCATCATCAATAGTCCATGATCGATGCGTTATCATTGTGACATCATCACTAGCCCATGATCCATGCGCATCATTGTACCAGTCCATACTGTTGCGCATTAAATGGTAAGACGATATAGCCATTTRTTATTACCGATTAGATATGAAATCATTCAATTGTTGTTTATCTTTATTTTTAGGTATGTTCTATGATTTCCTTGGAAATTACAACGTGGTGTTTTTCGTTAGTAGTGGACTTGTATGCATAGGAATATGTATCACTTTTGTCGTACCCTGGCTAACGCCGCCGAACTTAAACGAATTGGACTATGACAAACAAGCCTTACTTTCGATCGAAAATGATATCGACAAATGCTATAAAGACGAGAAACGTTACGATATGTCGTACGTAGACGAACAGAAATTAGCTTATTTACTTAGCCAGAAGAAGGGGAAAAATCATCTTCTGGAAAGAAATCGATCTCAGCTTGATTTTGGCTCAGTATCTAGACCGTCAAGTTTCATCTTGTTTAATATTGTGTCAGATGAACATCCTCATAATATTTCAGCTTACACCAGTCGTCAAGACTTAGCGTTCATAAGTGGTACCACCACACCTMTAAGAGGTACCCCAAGTACAGCAAGACGACGATATAACGACGTAGAATCCCATACAAGCATGCATTCACTAAGACAGAGTTTTGCAGACGTTGCACATGCGGTGGAGACTCAAAGTAACATTGACTGCGCGGAGCAAACCATACTAACATTAATGCCGTTAGCAACTGTTGAAGAAGTAAATGAAGGAGAGCGCAAAATATCTCCACAAGAGAAACAATACTCTGGACCATTTATTAAAAAAGAGGTAGAGGAAGAGGATGCGAGCGAGGAAGTTGAAAACCTTGCCGCGCAAGGAGAAGAGAGAGGTTCGTTTTCGTCTTTTTCAGACAGTGATAAACACTGGAAGAGCTCTTCTCACTCAACTGCTGAAACGGTTGATAGCGGATATATAGAATATGTGGACACTTCTTCAAGCAAAGATAAGTTAKCTTCCACTTCCGTATGGGGGGATGCCAACACGCGCCACTCTGCGGATAATCTAATCGATCATGAAAAGACTGAACTATCTAAGGATCTCGTTCATCATTCATATAGTTGTAGCGACGTAACGGAACTTTCAGGACTTTCAGATATTGTCACAAATCCGACGGACACAAGCGTGGAATCAATCGATAATACCTCGGGTTGCTATGACTATGAGAATGAACTTGCAACTTTCTCAGAATCAATTCAAAAAGATGGAGGAGATTCGAGATGGCAAGAAGAAACAGAAAAGTTGTGCTGGTCAATAAAGGCAGAAGCAAAAGACGGAGACTCATCAGAAGTAATGGTAGTCGTAAATACAAATAAGGAAAGCGCCCAAGGCTTTAATAATGAGCACATGTTCAGTTCAGTGTTTGARGATATTTTAGAACTCGAGGTGGGTGGGACAGAATATTTAAAAAGCTACCAAACGAACTACTCGTTGGAAAATGGTTATTTACATGGAGGAAAGTATCGTGAAACTGTAGTTTAATATAAAAATTTAGAACTACAATCTAAAGTTTAGTTCTTACTAAGATATACTAAGAGCGCAGGGGTGGATCTAGGGATGGTAAAAGGGGTGGCAAGTCACCCCCCTTTTGCTCAAATTTCTCAGTATATCGTTAGTAACAATCACCCCCTTTTTGTCGAGTTCCTGGTAAAACCTTTGTAATAGTCACCCCCCTTCTAAAATTCCTGGATCYGCCCCTGGGGTGTACATATAAAAAAAGGAAGAAAAAATACCTTGTGAGGAGAGGTGAAGTKAAGGCTTGACATTTAAAGGAGGGTCACTAATAGAATTTTGAACCCTGTGGGATGGTGCTCAGAGACGATGGAGGAGAAGGGGCAGGGGGAGCTATAGCCCCAATATTTCTGGCTAATATCCACTAATTTTCCAAGCTCAGTCCTCCCATTATTAAGGGTGCTCTTTAGTCCTTTCATTCAGATATAAAGTAATATTCATATTATTTTGTATGTTCACCATATGCTAAGTAGCTTACTTTCTAACATAATCAGTAAATGTGATATTCCGGAATTTAGCTGTGAAAATATAAATTGTTTCCTAACTGGGATATTGTTTGAAATTTACCTAGAGATAGGTTCTTKACATGACGTCTTTTATTTTAACCATTAAAACAAAGGGAGCCCAATAGTTATGGTGCTCTGGCTCTCATTTCACTGAAAACTATTATAACTTATGAAATGTGTAACTTAATATACTAGATATTTTTGATAGATGCAATTCACTTTATCATTCATGTCATTTGTTTGTTTCATTGGTATGACTGTTGGTCGGAAACTGAAATCTGAGAGCAAAATAAATTTTGGGCTGTGCGATATGAATTTAATAAATGAAGTAAAGTCATCAKTTTTYTGTCTCATTGATTAKTAGTTTGCAACAAGTTAATATGTAAATATGTGCCACCACCTTCAGAGATGACCTGCGCTGGTGAATAGTCCCTTTCACAGTTYCCTGACAAACGGCGAACTTGCAATGATAGAGACCTTTTTCTTAACACCCTGGACAACTATTCACATGTCTCTAACTTTCCAAGCTCACCATTCATTCTCACTTCGATGTGATGACACACRGCAGCTACCTTTCAAAATGGCACCAGGAACTGTGAAGGGGACTATTGGTTTCAGAATTCAGATTTCAGATCTCCGAACTACAACATCTTTTTGAAATGCAGTAAAAACCTGCATGTAAGAACCTGAAAATTAAAAACCTGTTTGYCTCAAATTTGACATTTATATCCCCTTTAAACAAGAACCTATTTAGCCTAGAAAATCAAAAACAGGTTCTTATTTTCAATAATGCTTGTGGATATGTGAATAAGTAATTTAAGGTTTTGATTTAGGCTGCGTTCATAAACGTATAGCGGGGGGGGGGGGGAGGTGAATTTTAGGGGGGATCCGGAAAATTTTGGCAGGAAAAAGGGGGGTTGCACAATTTTTGGAAGAAGCTACAAGCCTTGCTTAGGAGGGATTGTATTTTTTTGCTTGACTTTAAGGGGGGGATGTGAAGAATTATTCTGGGCATTTCAAATTTTCACCTGCCCCCACCCCTGCCATACATTATGAATGCAGCCTTAGGTAAAAAAAAAAACCATTTCATTTATCTGCTTGTATAAAATTCATTTAATTCATGAATCATTAGTAGATATATCATTCAAAGTAAAAAGGGTGTATATTTTATTGTAGGAAGATAAGTAAGTGGTTATTTAATTTTATTATTTAAACATTAAAAAAGATAAAGAATATTTTGATTAGTCAAAGATTTATAATGCTTATTGTGCCCTATTTTCCTTAAATATTATTGCATACTTCTAGAAAATATTCAAACCTCTATCACAAAGGGAATTAGTAAAAGGACCCCCTACCCCCAGGAACTTCCAATTTTCTTCCATACAAACWCTGTAATTTTGTTCTTTCTCTGACCCYTCTCCTCTCCAGAATTTCCAATTTCCTCCAAGGGTGGATTATGGATATTTTCTGGAATTACACATTATGACTAAAAAGCAATAGAAATATTCCAGGAATGTTCTATTCTTCTTTGGCCAATCAGAATTGACAGTCTAACTACAAGATAATGGTAAGATAACAATAATGCTTCTGATTGGCTATTGAACATTTTTGAAATATTTCTAGGTGCTCATGGTTACTTGATTCGCACTGTAAATGAGATAGAGATTTGGGTTGAAATGAGATATAAATACAGGAATCCTAATAACTGGTAAAATGATAATCAAATTAATTTCCTTTCTTTCTATACTAATTCAAAATGTTTTTTTTATTTCATATCATTTTTTATTTCCTTTCTTTTTGCATCTCAATTTATTTACTTTTTAATTTACTCTAGTTTCATTATTTTTCATTTTAATCTTATTTTTTCATTTTAATCTTAAATTATTATTATTTTATTTATGCAATGATATGCTTATTTTTGAAAGAATTTTTTTAGGAGCAGTGTTGTGTTGGATTACCTTTGGAACTCCCAGTCACATTCGGTCACACAAAACAGATCACAAATAAGSCTTCTTGGAATTCATCCAATCATAAGGTCAGCATGTGACACGCCTCCGACGTTCCTCCGATCGATATTAACTATGGATCGATGCATGAGGATTCAGTACGTAAGTAGTGTTCATGTACATGCCATACTGTTTTTGAAGACCTCTTTAAAGCTTTATACGCTTTAGATCTCGTACGAAAGGTAAGATTTTTATCAGACTACATTTCCAAGGTCATTTCCAAGATCATTTTTAGGGGTTAATATCGATTGATGAAGTTCGTTTCACTCCTCGTATATTCAACAATAATATATTGACTTCTGTTTGTAATCATGCATAGTTTATAGTAGAACTATGTCTATTAATCTAACCTGTATCGTTTTTAATAGCTTCTATGTTTGACTAGACTAGTTGAAGTCCTAGTGCTAGATTGCTAGTATGTTTAACAGTTTGGCTTCCTTTTCTCTGGATTACAAGTTTCCCCTCTTGTAGCTTCATCGTTTTCGACGTATTTGTGACAGATATTAACGAGTTTTAGTAAATCACGCGATTGCATTTTAGGCTATTTCTCCATCGATTCTTTGCGATCTATGGCTAGTTTATTTTATACTAATGTCTTCACAAAATAAAATCGACAATGTAAGGCTAAGGATAAAACAATGTAAGCTTATACTGGATAATTAGAGCTGATAGTGGGCTAGACTTCAAAGGAAAAAACTTGATCATGATCTAGGCTCTTGTACACAACTTGATGACATTTATCGTCACTTACATTGTAATTAGAAGTCTACAGTTCCTCATCTTGAATTTCTGGTCTTGTTAGTTGTGTTAAAAAGGAGAGCCAGTTGGCCTTCATACAGTCATTCACAATTGTCAAAAGAAAACATTCTTGGATACTCAAATGATCATTATGTTTTAAATTTCATGCAGGAATTCTTAAAACCTATTATTTTATCATATTTAATCAAAATTATTTTCAGTAATTATCTACTAAAGCTCTTTCTCCCCCCTTGGGAACAAGTTAAAAGCGAATAAAAGGTTCAAGCCTTTTGCTACATTGTGTTTAAAAGATTGATGTTCGTTTCCAAAGAATATAATAGKATTACGAATCATTCAATACTTTGTCTCATATAAAACGAATTTAGAAATTAATAAATTATTTTTTAGAAATTATTGAAATATTTAAAAAATATCTTATTAATCTCTAAATTCGTTTTATGATAGACAAAGTATTGAATGATTTGTAATCCATTTTTTTGCTAAGTTTTAATGAAATGTTTGGAAAAACTTACSATGTAAATGTAAAGAACATCAAGAGACATCATGATAAGAAAACCGCCTCTCAACACCTTGATCCACGATTCTGAAGCTTCTGGCTCTGAAACTACGAAAACAAWAAGACTGAAAGACCAGCTTTATTTTATTTCAAAAGGGTTAGGATTGTAATGAGAACGAGGTGACACAAGGCACCTTGCGATCGGCTAGAGCCTTCTGTATTTTTCGATATCCAGCATAACTTAGGCATGWTCTTGGAATGGCGGAGAATATTTTTGAGGGGGAGGAGGGMCAGGAAATGTCTATCACACCMTTAGGATTTTGAAATTGAGGCTCTCGGAAWTGCRATTCTCRTTGTTTCGTGGGSGCRATTCCAACATATAAACTCATGTCAAAGCCTTAGGCAACTCAACTCATAAGAGAAAATCCTTTTTTGCTGTGCCCATAAACTGGCTGCCCTGCAGGTGCGTTAGTAAGAAAAAGGAAAAGRATAAAATCTGTGTACGTCAAGCTCTGAACGAACAAAAAAATCTTTCGGGGTACTGAAGGAGTTGGGGAGGGGCTGGTGCGTCCAAAATTAYACAAAATCTACCAGAAGAGCTCTGAGTAAACCAACTCCTTTTGTTCAAATYGGGTTTAGTCTGATGCATCTCTAATGTATGTATGTGTAACCCTGATTACTCATCATATTTCGTTTGTTTGAATGAACAGAACGCGACGAGTTTAGTCAGTGACACGGMGCACGAATGACGTGTGAGTGCCGGGACGATGTACCAGAGTATTCGCTAGACGATGTGTCACAACACCATAATGCAGAATCATGTTGGATTGTTTTCTTAGACAAAGTATACGACATAACTTCGTTTATGGTCGAGGTAAAATRAATAAATCTCTTTATTTAAGTGTCTAGTCGTTCTAGCGCTTTCGCACTAATTGGGAACACTTTTCACTCACACGCACTACCACGACACGAGTGAAAAACGCCTGGGACAAGGCAAGGAATGAACGTGGGAATCGCTTGGTCTTGATCTGGAGTGATTGTGTGTGGGGCTTTGTTTTTTCAAGAACAGAATTATGTCTCGTTATGACAAAAACTAAAGTTATATGTGTCTACTTTGTCAACAGCATCCTGGAGGATTTGAGATCTTGTTAGAGCACGCAGGTAGTTATTTTGTTACATTAGCACTACTATCGACATGTCTTGTACGTCACTGGGTTCGATCACTACTAGACTTGCCTTTTTTTTCACGTACTCAGGATATTAGTAAATAGTATTTAGTTTTTGGACACTCCCCTTTCCCCCTTTGAATGGATAATGYCCTTTTTACTTCCACGATTTAGCTCGTTAATAGCCCCTTTATTCAGTATAAGTACGATCGACGTGATAAGAGAATTTSTCTTGAAACAACGCATATTATTGAGATCTGTCAGTTGAGCTGTTAACAACTGCTTCCTCGTGGGTAATGATCACTGACAGAGAAATGATAAATGTGTTGTTGGATTGTTGAAGGTTATGATGCAACAAGTGCCTTTCAAGACGCAGGACATTCCAAGGAAGCAARGAAACGTCTAGCAAAGCATTTCATTGGTAATTTAGTTAAGGTATGTATAAACTTCTTATTTCAAATGGCTTATCTTAACTATAATTTATAGATACCTAAAATCGACTTGCAGTAAGTCCAAACACCATGTTAGATTTAATAACCATACATGTATTTAGTTTTACCATTACCGACAATTCCACCATGTTCAGTTTATCATTTCCTTACGACACCTTAACTTCATCATCTAGTGTTACATTAAACACTGATACCACCAATCAATGCCAACTTAAATCACCACGGTACCATCTGCACCATGCACCATATCGATCACCAACACTATCCAATGCCAGTCCACATTCATCATTGCCCCCGGGGGGGGGGGGGGGG